TCAGCTAGTCCTGCCGTTTTCACTCGAGAAGTAAACCGAGTATTAGCTCCATTAGCAGTTGAAGACTGGGTACGAAACTATCTTGATGATGTAATAGTATGGGCTCCTGACTTCCCCACCTTGTTGCAAAGACTCACCAGAGTATTTGAGAGATTTGAAGAAATGGGTATTAAACTAAATTTGTCTAAGTGTCAATTTGGCCATAAGCAAGTTAAATTCTGAGGACATGTAGTTTCAGAGAGAGGCATTGAGCCTGACCCAGAAAATGTCCAAGCTTTGACTGAGTGTAAACCCCCAACTAATGTTAAACAAGTCCGCCAATTTTTGGGTATGTGTGGATTTTACCGTAAACATGTTCCCGAGTTTGCCAAAGTAGCTTACCCCCTCACTGAGTTAACGAAACAGACTGTTGATTTTGCATGGTCTAATGAGTGTCAAGAAGCATTTCAGAAGTTAAAGCAAGCACTAGCTTCATACCCAGTCCTAGTCAAGGCAGATATTTATAAACCATTCGAACTGCATAGTGATGCCAGCAATTTCTGTGTAGGCGCTTCCCTTAATCAGGTACAAGAAGATGGCTCTTTGCGACCAGTGGGTTATTTTTCTAGAAAGTTAAAGCCGGCAGAAACTCGTTATTCCACCACCGATAAAGAAGCGTTAGGAATTGTACTAGCGTGCAGGTTCTTCCATCATTTTCTTTGGGGTACGCAGTTTACAATTAAGACAGATCACCAACCTCTAACCTCCATATTTAGAAAGAAAACCAAAAGTCAGCGAATGAACCGTTGGATCTTAGAAATGAAAGATTACGCTTATAACATTGACTACAAACCCGGTAGAGCTAATGTAGTGGCTGATGCATTAAGTCGACCAGTCAGAACCTTGAGAAAAGTCATGCACGACCATGTTGCCGCTCAATTTCCCACACTAGAAGGTTTCACACAGGCAGACTTGGTAAAGAACAACAAAAAGAACCAAGGTGGCAAGAGTTAAAACAGTATTTAGCAGGAGGTAAAATTCCACAACATAAGTACCCAAAGGCCACCGTTGATAGCTTTGAAGTAATAAATGGAGTATTGTATCTAGTAAAAGAACAACTCGACAAAGCATTGAAGTATTGTCTAGTAATCCCTCAACATTTACGTAAAGCCGCATTAGAGTTGGTACATGACAATGCCGCCTCAGGTCATTTAGGACAGTGGAAGACCATCACCCGAGTAGCAAATTTGTTTTATTGGCCTAACTACCGTAAAGATTGTGTTGATTATGTAGCATCATGCGAGACGTGTCAAAGGTTCAAGGGAACTAAGGGACTTACGCAACTTTGTCAAGAATTACCAGTCGTAAGCAAACCACTGGAACGAATTTCGGTGGATTTAACCGACATGCATTCCGGGATCAATGATTACCGATATGTGTTAACGATCATAGATCATTACTCAAGGTTCGTTAACTTCTATCCATTGCGCACGAAGACCACGCAAGAAGTTACCCGTGAATTTGAAAAGTTTGTTAATGTCTTCGGTAGTCCTAAAGTAGTGATTGCGGATAATGGAGGAGAATTTACTGCCGCACAATTCAGGGAGCTCTGTCGATTAACTAACATTAAAGTGTATTTTACCTTGCCTTACCACCCCCGAGGTAACAGTATCACGGAGAGAATGCACCGAACTTTTAAGAACATTTTGTCAATAATGTGTGAAGATAACCCGCGTCGCTGGCCACGATTCTTGGGTCCGACCCAATATGCGTTGAACACTTCTGTTCACACAACGACTGGAGTGCAGCCACACTTCGCATTCTTCTCCCGGCATGCACAGAGACAAGTGGGAATTGAGTTACCAATAATAGAAAACGAGAGTACTGAGGGGTTGAGAGAAGCTCACAGAGTAATTAAAGAAACTTCTGAACGAATGTCTAGAGAATTCCGGAACGTAGCAAACCGAGATAGAGTCAATCAGACGTACTGTCTGATTGACTAGGGGAAACTGTTTGGGTGAGAGATGAAGCTCCTATCCCAGGTACCAGTAGGAAATTAAATGCTAAGTGGAAGGGCCCATATACAGTAACTGAAGTAATACGAAATGGTGCAGCGTATGAGTTAACCCACCTTTCAGATGAGACAGAAGTAATTCGACGAGCGGCAGAAAAGGTGAAAAGATGTATCAACAGAGATATGTTTGTCCATGTAAATGACATCCAGGTTCCCCCTAATGATTCTTCCTCAGAATCAGAGCCTGATGAGAGAGATGCTATACGGGATGAGGAGAGAACAGTAGTTGCTCCTGCTCCCCGATTTCCCTTAAGGATGAGAAAACCAGTGGTGAGACTGGATCTTTAAAAGCAGTGAGCTTTTAAGTGACCCTCATTGGTTGATAATGAAGTGTGCAATCAGTTATAAGTAACTTGTGGTAAAGGGAGAGGTAAAGAATTGATGATTTTTTTTTATTAAAAGTATTTTGCAGAGGAATGGTCAATTTGCAGTAAAGACAGAGATTGGAAGATGGATTGGCAGTTATGCAATCATCTGAAGGGTATCTGTTACTAGTATGAGTAAAGATACCAGTGGTGAATTCTCAAGTTCCGGTTGGTAAGTCCTACGTAGGCTGGGTGTTGTTGGTATATAGGTGTAGAGTTCGTGACTTTCAGGGAGTATTCTGGCATATAAATATGGTGCTATTACTTCTACATGGCAAATGCCATAAGTACAGACAGTTTTTGGTTTGGTAGTGTTCTCATGAGGACCGTTTCGTTAGCATTGAATTCTTGGGAATACCCGCCCGTTCGGAGTCCCTTGAATGGTGCTGCCTCTCGCGAGTGCGACATAACTCTTTAGATTAAGGGCAACAAATCATTCCTTCGACTTGATGGGGTCCGTTCGTCTATGTCCTAGCTTGAGAAATCTATGTTAAATCTCAGTGTGTCCTGTAAGCATTTGACCAATCGCATAAAAGAAACTTTCATGATCTATGAACATTGAAATTTGAGTTCTGCAAGGAAATTTTGAGTGTGCACTTATCTACCGATGTGAGGGTGTATTTTGTAACATGTAACCCCATTTATTATTATTATTATATGATATGAGGTATCTAACTCAATTCATTATTATTCTATGATGATGTACTTAACCCCATTTATTATTATATGATATGATGTATGTAACACCATTTATTATTATTATGATATGATATGATGTATTTACCGCCATTCAGTATTATTATGACATGATGTACCTAACCCCATGTGCTATTATTTTTGGTGCTATTTTGTAATATGTATCCCAATATATTTTTTCATGAAGGTGTGTCACATTCTAGTTGTATGTTAACAGATTTCCATTTCTTTTACCCAATCCTGACCACCGGTAGGGAATTATTTTTCTATTTTTATTGATATAATTTGTGCAATGTTTTGTATGAGGATTTATACTTTATATTAATGATTTAATGTGTATGTCACTACTTACGTGTTTTCTGAACGTTACCGCATAATATAAATCTTGGGGAAGGGGGAAGCTTTGTAATGATCGTGATGACGGCTAACCTGAAAACCTTAAGGATTCATATTACGCTCAAACGTCCACAAAACCCTCTTGAGTCCCCCAGTGGAAACATCCCCCGTTTTCTCTGTTTCCCCGTCTTTGTCTTATGGGAACTTTGAATATAATCCACGGATTTAGTAGCAGACGCTGTATGCTGGGACCTGTTGCCATCCAACCCTTTGTAATCAATTTAATTTTGCTTTTGATAGCTGAGTCAGAGCATTGTTAGTGAAGATAATAGTAGGGAATGAAACTGAGTTCATAGTCTCAGTTTCAACGTCAGAGTGTACAGTAAATTAATTCATCGGAATAGAAGTAGGTGGGCTCCCTGGTCTGGTTTGAGTGAGGGCGCCGCGGGCATTTCTACCGTTAGTGAGTGCCCGTCCCTTCATCCATACAGGTATGCCATTCCACTCTGTGTTGTAATTCGCCCTTCTTTAAGTGATTTGACCCAATTAATAGTTGATTGTGCAAGTGTTACAGTAACGTAGTTGATATGCTCTGAGTGAAGTCATATTTACGTCTTTAGCGTCCCCTGAAACGTGGTGTTGTTGTCACCGTTAGTGAGTGCCCTAAAGCTCGATCTGCGAGGTGACCCCGGATCACCACGCCACACACCACTACCAGCCCCCATCATTGGTGGATGAGTGTCTAACTCAGTAGGGCTATTTGTGTGGTGGAATTAATCCACTGGGATCTCCAGAGTTCGTCGGAAAGTACTCCATGGTGGCTGGACCCCATGGCTGTTGCTTAAGTATCACTCCTGACGACTGAGTGGTGTAGTGGCAGTTGCCCTGGTCTTTATGGTGCTAAGTGACTATAATAGTTGTGTTATTGAGTATGTCCACCCAGTAGGGTTGGAAGTGTTATTGAATATGTCCACCCAGTAATGGTGTGAGTATGTTGAGCCTGAGGGCCTAGTACTAGATTTCGTCTGTTGGTACAAATAAATTCTTTCTTCTAATTTCATATTCATGTTTAAATAAACTTTGTATATGTATAATTGTGTCTATTATTTACCTACAGTATTTACCGTTATTTCTTCCCGATTGCTTGATACTATCATTACACCTACCCACGAGCCTCCTATCGTCACGCTACCAATGGTAATAAGTATGAGAGTACAAGGAATTGTTACTGGCACACAGAGGCCCTCATAAATGGGGGAAGCTCAGGCCCTCATAAATGGTGGCAGTCCAGGCCCTCATATAACTACCCTAACATAGTTTAGCCGTACTTAATCTAACCTATCTTAACGTAATCTAACCTAAACAAACCTTAACTACCCTAATTAAGCCTTACTAATCTTAAACTAAACTAACCTAACCCTAATTAAACCTTATTAATCTTAAACTAAAATCAATATTAAGCTAACCTACCCACACCTAAGCTAACCTACCCACACCTAAGCTAACCTACACACACCTAAGCTAACCCTACCCTCCATGTTTGTTGACAGTACTGGCTCGGGTTAACGACGAAGGACCAAACTCACTGTTAACTCTGGCTCTACGTCACCACGCTCTACTGCAACAACGTAACGAAGATTTACTCACCCAACAAGGTCGTTGTACTGCCCAGATCGAGGCTCCACAGGAGGATAAACAAGAACTCCGTCTACACCTACAGGATTGCAAGAAGAAACTACAGTACCTTCAGAGAGGCCTTACAGATATCCTACCTCCTACAGACAGCGCCAAACCTACAGATACTACAGAGGATGTTAAAAAAGGCGTTAAAATAGATGATTTATGTCCTTGCAGAGAGAATTTAACGGAAGCACAGTTGGAAGAGAGGAATTTTGTAGGATTGGATTGTGTCTGTGAGAAAGTGACCATACTTCCCAAGACCACACCTGCTCTTGTGTTGTTGGGTACTGGGTCAAGGTGGGTGTGTCTGTGTCTGTCTGTCTGTCTTCATCTCTATCCTTTCCCAATAGAATGAAGGACTCTCTCTCTCTGTCTCTCTCTCGTATAAAGTCAATCTCTCTCTATCTCTCTCTCTCCCCCCCCCTGCCCCCTCTCTCTCTCTCTCTCTCTCTATCTCTCTCCCCCCTGCCCCCTCTCTCTCTCTATTTCTCTCTTTCTCTCCTCAACAGAGTGAAGGAGTGCGCCGGTCATCAGACTGAAGGGGCGACCGAGAGTGGAATGTATGAAATTTACCCATCAGAGTAAGTATCACATCCTTACACCCTCCTACACATCCCTATCCATCCTTACACACCTTCGGCATCCCCTTTACACCCTCCTACACATCCCTATCCATCCTTACACACCTTCAGCACACTCTTTACACCCTCCTACACATCTCTACACCCTCCTACACATTTAAAGAATTTTTAAAACTGGCTGTAAATGATTGTTTGTTTTTATTTAATAACAAAGCTTATAAACAATGTGATGGTGTTGCTATGGGTTCACTTTTAGGTCCCACGTTGGCCAACGCTTTCCTCTGTCACCACGAGAAGCTTTGGCTTACCGAATGTCCCCCCCAATTTAAGCCTTTGTTCTATCGTCGGTATGTTGATGACACTTTTTTAATTTTCAGATCACTGATCACGTCCCTGTTCCTAAATTATTTAAATTCGAAACATGGCAACATCAAATTTACTTGTGAATTGGAAAAGGAAAATATTCTTCCATTCCTTGATGTTAATATCCACCGTCTTCAAAATAGTTTCGAGACAGCCTTATACAGAAAACCAACTTTCACTGGTTTGAGTTCAAAATTTTCATCTTTTATTCCTCTTAATTACAAACGTAATCTAGTACGTACTCTTACCAACAGAGCCTTCAATATATGTTCAAGCTATTTCCACTTGGATATTGAACTAAAATACATAAATGAACTACTCTTTAATAATGGCTTCCCTAAGAGATTTACAGACACTTATATTGGCAAAACGCTTAATAGGTTTTTTAGTCCCACACAACCTCAAATCCACACTGTCCCTAAATATTTTATCTTTCTCACCATCCCGTACACAGGCCCACTCAGTTTCACCATTAGAAATAAACTTAAGAAGCTTTTCAATGAATTCTATCAACAAATTTCTCTTAGACTAATCTTTAAAACCCAGATTTCAATTAAGAAATTCTATAAAATTAAAGACACCATACCCACACACCTGCAATCCTCAGTTGTTTATCAATTTACGTGTGCTAGCTGTAGGGCAGCATATATAGGTAAAACTACATTTGATAACTCGCATCCATGAACACTTGGGCCGTTCCGTTCGAACAGGCCATTTAATCACACAACCACCACATTCAACTATTCGTAACCGCGCCCACCAACATGACCACCCGTTTTCAGAGTTGCCAACTTAGCGACTTTGTAGCTAGATCTAGAGCTTTTAGTTTTGTTCTAGCGACATTTTAGAGCGATTTGCGACTTGTCGCAAATCTAGAGATATCCACAGAAATCTAGCGACTTTCTGGATACTTTTGGACTGTCCATGAAAACTCAGTTTTCCTAATTTCGAGCCATAATATATAGCAACGGGGTTACAGGGACAATAAATAATAAGAAAAGTTTAATACATTTGAACGGGTCGTGGTACAGAAGGAGGGACACGTCTATTTCCTGATCACTTGATGTCAGCCCGTCCATGGCTAATGTTGCCGTGTCGTCATTTATTTGTCTATTACCTTCGCCTTTGTAGCACCTGGGTAACTTACCTTTTTGTCAGATATGCAATATGAATTTCATTAATACGCTAAATTTTAAAGAATATTAGCAAAACATCTTATAGAATTAATTCTATCAAGCCTGCGTGGTTCCAAACTTCTCATCCGCGTCCACCATGGGTGACCCATAGACTCCATACAGTTGCCCCGACACTGTTCACCCGCTTTGCCAAAAACCATCAAGGAAAGTTTCCGCTTGTTTGCATGCTGTTTATTAATTTGAACCCTTCATAGTCCCAATAGAAAATGGGTAAGCCACAGTATTCGCAGCGATTTAGGAAGGAATGGCTCAGAGATGACAGATACAAAAATTGGCTTCTGGAGGTGCCAGGAGATAATAAAAAAGGATTTTGTAAATTTTGCAAGTGTACTTTGTCTGCTAAGTTGTGCGACATTGAAAAACACAAAAACACTAAAAAACACAAGAAAGCAGAAGAGCGGTTTAGTGCAGAAAGACAGACAATTTTACCATTCAAGAAACTTGGGAATAATAGCTAGCAACTTTCCATGGAAGATTTAGCGACATTTAGCTACTTTTAGGTACCAGCCTAGCGACATTTGAAAATCCGAGTTGGCAACACTGCCCGTTTTTGCCGTCTGATTTCTCAGTTCTTGGCAAGAGCGACTGTGATACAGACCTCCTCATTATGGAGGCATACACCAGTATGAAGAAAAGCCGTCGCTTTGTGATATGGCCTCTAGTGAATTGTTATGTTTTTCACACTAAGGCTTGTCTGAATTAAGGTAATACCCCCTTTATATTTTATTTCATACTTTTTATTTCTTGATTTTAGCTTTGTATGTAGGTCTCTTGTCATTTTTGTCGGTTTTGAATTGGATTGCTCTTTTTAAATTTTTGAAATTTATCGAAGGTAAATTTTCGTGTAATATTATGTTTTTATTGTATATCACCTGTAATTTTAAACTTTTTCAAATCTTTTTAGGCTCTGATGATGGAAAAGGATTATTTCAGAAACGTTAGCAATTAAAAGAAGCCCTACCCTGGTTCTCCTCTTAGTAGGACCAGAACAGTTTTTTGTCATATTCCATAATTTCCAGGTAGTAGTTGTGGCACTTAAAGACAGGCCAGCAAATTGCTTCCCGGAACACAGTTATCTATGGCTCTCCTGTTACAAATATTAGGTGTATTTTACTGAGTATTTCTGGAGTATTGGTACTTTTGTTATTGTCTGGTATGTTTTATATTTTTTCATGATTATAATAAAAATAGATTAATGATGATACCCTTATTAAATGACGTAATAATGATACTTGCAATAATACTAATACAGTAATAATAATGATTATATCGTTTAATGCTGTATTCTACATAGAATTTTCGTGATAATAAGGCGGTGTTTGATAACTGTTAATTACTGTATATAAAAAATGATAGAAACGACTAATGATAATAATAACCTCAATGCAATGCATTATTAAGGATGCTTTCGGGTGAGGTGAGGCTGAGGTGATATTTATCGATCCTGAAATCAACAGCTCGTTAATATGCAGCCCAGTACAGTATATAACACGTGATGGTATGTGTCTTACCGTTCTCGAGCCATGCAACTGACATTAATGCCTCGATAATAAATAGTTACTCAGTATTGATAATGATGATCGTTCAGTATTTCTTATTATATGAGACGGGTGTAGGGGTATCGAGATATTAATGTTGTCTAGCACTCAGGATGGAAGGAAACTCTAATGTGGTTTTCTTATATAATATAAGTTATATGATAGACAGTCTGGTGCTAGAGGTGCCGTGTGGTGAGGAGCTGCTCAGTAGAGACGTTCGGTGAGTAGCGTGTTGAAGGAGGTAGATGTGCAGGAGCTTCGTTAGAGAAGATGTTGCCTGTTGCTGGCCTCATGGTTGAATGAATGCTGACAGCGTGGAGCTTGCTGGAGGAGGTGTTGCTTGTTCAGGAAGATGGGCAGAATGAATCTCAATGGAGAGACAGAGCTTATATACCCAGCAGCAGCCGCCAGTCCTCTATGAATCATGTTGGGAAAACCCAGAAAGTCGCCGGTGACTAGTTTCGTTGCTAGGCTACCGTACCATCTGGCGTCAGCTCTCGCTTGGTTGCTAGGAGACGGCAGCGCGTCGGAATGCGATACGCAGTTGTAAGGGAGACGTCCACTACACGGGAACTTCACTGACATGTTTACTTTGATGCAAAATATATTGAATTTGGTGAATTGAAATCCAACTAATGAAGTAGATCTCAAAAACGAACTAAACTAAGATACTTGTCTACTTTTGGTACTTTTGGATATGTTTAGAATTGCCTCTTAAGCAGTTTTCATGATTTTTTTTTGTCCATCACCATATTTGTATTTTATTCATCAAAGGAAATATACTGTTGAATAAAGAGAAGAAAACAGCGATATATGCCTCTTGGGTGAGACTCGATAGTGACTGAGTTAATACATTACATTGTTTAATACATCAATAAAATTGTTTGTTAGCCTTACCACTACCTCGGCAACCACAACATGATACATATTAATGCCATTATAATTGTTTTGTAATCCTTATTATGTAGAGATGTTAAATGTCATTATTATTATCATTATTATTATTATTTTTTTTTAATTTGAGTTTCTAGAGAGTATTGCAGGTCCATAAACCACATATTTGTGATTTGTTGACCCGTGAGCCTTGATGTGTCAGGGGAGGATATTAGATGTTCTCTGTAGTGTACTAACACCTGCCCCGCCAGTGCTGGAAACGTATAACGGTTCCAACTTCAGGCAGTGAGACACACTGAGGCTTATTACAGTAAAATGTTCAGCTTTAGGGATCAGTTCTACTAACAAGGTCTGTGTTGTGTTGTAGTCGACACAGATGAGTAGTATTTTTATGTCACTTTACCTCAAGATGCAAAGAAGACAAAGTGAAGAAACAGCAACAAAGTTTGATGATGGTGAAGAAAAGGACTGAGACTCTACCTCCGCCTAACACACATAAGGTAAACTATTTGTTTTGTATTTACATAACTGAAGGCTGAAGCATTATATTCACTTAATAGCTTGAGAATCTCAACAGTCAACCAACTTGATAGTTCTCACCTCAAGTCTCACCATAATTCACTCCATCAAAAACTGTCTCTAACATTTTATTAAGTGGAACAATGTTGTCAGTCTTTCAGTGAGTTTTATATATACATTACAGTACTCTACATATCATTTTCTTTATCAATTAAGTCAACTCAACCTTAAATGCACTATTTTTTAAAGATTTTTTTTATTGCT